CACACACACACACACACACACACACACAATCGCTCTTCTTAATTAAATTTGGTGAGGTAGCTGTTACTTTTAAAGAGCTTGGTTAGGCGTGTGTGTGTTTTTTAGTGAATAAAAACCAGTGGGATCTGAAATATAAGTGACTATGTAGAACAACAGTCTTGCTACCTATCCTCAGGCTTAATATGCAAAAATGTTTTTTAAATTAATGTTGATTTTTTTTGGATCATTCCTAATAGTGAACTTATGTCTGATTCATAAAAGATGCTTAACACAAAAAGCCTTGCTTAAGCAGTTTCTAATAAACCCATAAGTAACTCATTTTCTTCTGTAATCTATGAAACTGAAGTCAGCTTAAATTACCAGCAGTGGCCTGGGGGGGGTCTCCTATTACAAATATCAGAGATAGCCGTGAAGCAAAAGGTAAAAGCAAACTCTTTGGAGAACAGGCTCATAGTGGTGGTTAAGGAGAGTGAATCCAGACAACAAATATTATCCAGTGGACTAAATAGCGGGTGGAGGAATCCAAACAAGCAGCCTGGAAATGTGTTGCTCCTGCACTGACTGGGGTTGGATAGAATTACAGAACTGTAAAGTACACCAGTGGCTTTGAAAATCGCTCCAGTCTAGACTTAAGATTTGAGGTATGGTCACTTCTGTGCGTGGTAAGGTTTTGTTTTTAACAGGTTTTTCTCTTTAAGCATACTTAAGATAGTTTTATATGTTTTATAAATGGGGCCCTAAAGCTCATTTTGTTGGTTGCCAGGCTTCATACCACCATGGGTGTTTATTTTTATATTCTTTCATATTTATTTTTGGTTCAGTGTTGTGGGGATTGAAAAGAGCTGGCGATTTGCTCGTTTAAAAATAAGTAACCATGACTTATGGGAAACTCAGTTAAAAGTTACTCACATGCAGCAAGTTCTAATCTGTGAATAGACTTAATCCATGCTTGGGAAAGTGAGCCTTCATGGCCACAAAAGGTATCTTGGTGAATATAATTATTTCATCCATGATAGTTTACAGTTGTATTATGTCCCTTTTTGGGGGAGTTTAAATACATTTTGCTCAATTTGTACATTTTACATTTGTTTTTTTGTAACAGTGTTTCTTTGTTTTTATGTTATAGACTCAAGAGCTACTCTATGTAAGATGAACACTGAGGACAAACTGGAAGGCATGCTGCTGAAGTGCAGCAGCGGAGGAATAGACGGAGGAGGGAGAGTTGGCCTGGGCAGCGGAGGAGGACTGGTGGTGATGACACTCGGGGAACGATCGCTGGCTAACCACCCTCTGCTGGCCGAGGATGACGACGACGAAGACGACGACGAGGACTTGACTCGAAGCTCGCTGGTCACTCACGACCTGGTCCCTCCAGAGCAGCTGATGATGCAGGAGGAGATGACGAAGAATAGCGGTGGAGGAGAAGAGGAGGGAGGAGCCGAGGTGGGAGAGCATTTCCCCCTAAAACTCACGAATAAGTTTCCCTGCTTGCTTCATATGCCAGTGAGTTCACACTGGTTTAGAAGTAGATCAGATTTTGATAAGCTCATTTCTGTGAGTGCATCTACAGTCTCCACTTGATCAGAGTGAGTTTGCTTTTATGCATGTTATGTTGACTTAGCCTGACATTTTGGACTGTTCAGTGCAATCAGTTCTTTTAACACGCAAAAAGTACTGTTAGGTAGCTGCTAATACTGCAAACTACTTTCACACTAGTTATTTTTAGGTGCCGGAATTTTCTTAAAAATTGGTCAAAAATAGGGAGCTCGCATTAGTGTTTTGTTTTTTTTAATGAATGACAGATATTTTAATTAAAAATCTTTCTGTCACTTTGACCCACTTGTTCATATTCAGAAACAATATATTTGGACACTCTGATCTTCTGAATCAGAATAAACTTGCAGCAAATGTGAACTTTAAAATAGTAATTTCTATTCTAAGAATACAGCATAATGAGGATAATCTGAATTCACCCTCAGGGACAGGTTTAAAGCATTGCTTCTCCTTGGGAACTTTAAGAGCTGGAATTGTATGGTTTGTGTTGTTTGTATGTCTGTAGTTATTACAGACAGGTTATTTTCAGAAAGCTGAAAAGTGGCTACATACATTTTAAAATGCCAGTCAGAGGATTTGAAAACGCTGTCCCTGGCCACCTGGCAGATGTAATCTCTCAGCCTGTTCTGGGTTGTAAGGGGCTGAGGCTTCCCTCTGGTATTTTATGCCTGAGGCAACTGTATGGTGAGATGCCCTCACATTGGTTGATTATGCTCTGCTTGCCCAGTTGCACCTGTCTGACCTGGATAAAGTGGTAGCTGGCTGGGTGGCCCTTAAAGTAGGTCATGTGCGATATTCAATGTATAAATGACTATGGTCCTAC